GCGAAATTCAAAAAACAAACAAGGCTTGTATTTTAACACCACTGATCGCTTTTTTAAAACAAGGCAACTTGGTATCTCACTGTCACAAATCACAACTTTCCGAAAACTACATAATCATATTTCCTGAATCGCTTTCTTTAAACTACAGAACTTAGTTTTCTACCACTGCAAGTTAAGTCTTTCTTAAAACTACGTAACCCTTTATCCTGAGGTCTGTTATCGCTTTCTTACAATTATGTAACTTGATATTATACCATCACAAATCATGTTTTTCTTAAACCTTGTATCTTGACATTACTAATCGATTTCTTAAAACTATGTAACTTGATATTATACCATCACAAATCATGTTTTTCTTAAACCTTGTATCTTGACATTACTAATCGATTTCTTAAAACTATGTAACTTGATATTATACCATCACAAATCATGTTTTTCTTAAACCTTGTATCTTTACATTACTAATCGATTTCTTAAAACTATGAAACTTGGTTTCCTATTTCCACATATCACGTCTCTCTTAAAGCTGCATAGCCTTGCATCCTAGCATCTCTTATTGCTTTCTTGAAAGTACGAAACTTGGTATCCTACAATCATAAATGATGATTTTCTTAAAGCTACATAGCCTTGTATCCTAGCTTCTCTTATTGCTTTCTTGAAAGTACGGAACTTGGTATCCTACAATCATAAATGATGACTTTCTTAAAGCTACATAGCCTTGTATCCTAGCATCTCTTATTGCTTTCTTGAAAGCACGAAACTTGGTAACCTACAATCATAAATGATGACTTTCTTAAAGCTACATAGCCTTGTATCCTAGCATCTCTTATTGCTTTCTTGAAAGTACGGAACTTGGTATCCTACAATCATAAATGATGACTTTCTTAAAGCTACATAGCCTTGTATCCTAGCTTCTCTTATTGCTTTCTTGAAAGTACGGAACTTGGTATCCTACAATCATAAATGATGACTTTCTTAAAGCTACATAGCATCTCTTATCGCTTTTTTTAAAACTACGTAACCTTGTATCCTGACGTAATTAACCATTTTCTTAAAACTTTGTAACCATGTATCCTGGCATCTCTTATTACTTTCTTGAAACTACGAAACCTGCTACCCTAGAATCATAACTGATGACTTTCTAAACAACGGAAATTTGTATCCTGACATCACTAACCACTTTCTTAAAATTAAGTAGCATTTTATCCTGAGATCTATCGGTTTCGTAGAACTATGAAACTTGGTATCGTACAATCACGAATCATGAGTTTCTTAAAACTAAGTAGCATTTTATCCTGAGATCTATCGCTTTCATAGAACTGTGAAACTTGGTATCGTACAATCACGAATCATGAGTTTCTTAAAACTAAGTAGCATTTTATCCTGAGATCTATCGCCTTTATAGAACTATGAAACTTGGTATCGAATATAAAACAGCGTTAACAAAATCATTCAAGTTACGCTTAGTTTTCTTAACCATTTACAAAATGTTTTTGGCATGTTCTATTTTGTAGTCTAATAAAAGCCAATTTAGTACAATGTTTCAAAATATATATGAAACTTTCACTAACAAGAATTGTAATGAACCTGACCGATTGAAGTGTAGAACCTATCTAACGGACTGTGATGAACGTCTAACCAACGGTAATGAAGCAGTGTATTTCCTTTAGTCCTGTCTCTCTGTAACAGTGGGTTACACAGAAATTCTAAAGTTACCCTTAGTATTTTGTTCGTTATACTACAGGATGGTTTTAAGGTAGACTAATTTACCTTCTCGTTCATTTGGAAATGTGAATATTCATCGTTGTTGTTGTTGTTGTTGTTATATCTGTAATTTATATCAATCCCGTTAATTAGTTTTCGATGTAAAAACGTTTTTACCTCAGAAGTAATAATGAATCGTATCACTCGTCAAGAATGTTAGTAAAAAAAAACATGAAGATTATAAAGAGGTATCTTGGAAAACGCGTAAAGCACTTGAAACGTTAAATTTACATTTCCGCCTTTGGATTTTAATTGTATGCTATGGAAACGTTAATATAAATGAAGGAGTGCGTAAATTTTAAATTATCGTCTGAAAAAAAAAAAAAGAGATTAAAAAAAGCACGTTTGTCCTCTCAAAATTGGCTGGATCTTTTGCAGATTTTTCTCGCCCGAATGTTACTTAAGCTCATTTTTATATTATTGTAATAAGTGTATACGTCAAAAGTTCAAACACAAGTTTAATAACCATTACAATGACCATTAATATTTTACTGATTCTTTTTTTTTAAACTTCACAGGGGACCCTTTAGACAAAGTTTCATTTTTACAAAACGGTTATAACCAGATGATGGCACAAGCGGCGGCAGCAGCAGCGGCAGCGGCCACTGGAACGCCATCTCACATTAATCCTCTGCCGTTTATGGCATTAAACCACCAGGTGTCCCACCACAGTATGATTCCAGCCAGTAGTTGCTTAAGTTTGACTGCTCCTAGTCACGCCCCAACTGATCGAAGTGATGGCGCTGGCATCGGAGAAAGATCCGGACAAATATCTGACAGTTGTGTCACTAACAGGTTTGTGTGTTACTTATTTGCTCTTGTTTTGGTTTTTATTATTATTAACAAACGAGTAGTACAATAAGAAAGATGCGTATAGAATAGAGTTTATAGATATTAACATATAACAGGCCAGTAACAGCTTGTAAAATTGGTTCCCCTACTTTGCATAACAGTGATGTAAAAAAAAAATCACCTTTGTAGGGAACCCAAACTTAAGATTATCATTTAAATCAAATGAGCTATGACTAAGTTTGAGTCAGCTTTATTTAACATGATAAGAAAGAAGTAAGCACATTTTTTTCGAACGTCAATCTACCAAAAGTGATGAAAAAACCAAATGAACATTACCTTAACAATGCTGCCCACTCATAAGCAGCAGTTTGAATTAAATGAATTTAACGAGATGAATTAGAAATCGTAAAAAGTGGTGTGTGGATGAGTTATTTTTATAGTATAGTTGGGACAACAAGTACTGTAGGGTGTTGAGGAGCGGATTCTTATGTCTTGTAACTTATCGTAGGATAATGTGCCTTAATGACCTATAAGTTCACATCCGGGAAATTAGAGGTTACAAACGATTATTCATTTAATTATAGAATCTTCTCTTGATTGCGAGAAACGAGTTGAAGATCAGGATTGCGAATGTCATGTTGATCCGTTTGATTGCGAGAAATGAGTTGAAGATCAAGATTGCGAATGTCATGTTGATCCGTTTGATTGCGAGAAATGAGTTGAAGATCAGGATTGCGAATGTCATGTTGATCCGTTTGATTGCGAGAAATGAGTTGAAGATCAGGATTGCGAATGTC